TAGTTTATGTATATTAAATTACTCCACACACACACACACACACATCTGTGTGTACTAGCAAGAGATGTATACCGTCAGTGAGCAGAACAGCCCAGTTTTCTGCACACACACACAACGGGAAAAGCAAGTAATGGAATTATTAGAAAACAAAAAAACACACACAAAAGTAAAAGAAAAGAAACTCCAATTAAAAGAGAAAGCTGATAAACAGATTATTAGTTTTTTCACCCATGGGGGATATAAGTAATTATGATTATGTTGGTTTAACCATTATTATTATTAGTTGCCCTCAGATGAGTCCCAATGTTCAGTACACGGTAGCGGAGACCAACACAGCCACAATCAGTAGCGGCACACGCACCCACACAGAACTGATGATACTGCTGTCAGCATTACCCTTGTTCTTCTGCACTGCGGAAGCGATGCTGCTGATCTCTGCGTTTGGTACGAGAGATGGAGATAGAGTGGTAGTTGGTGCTTCTGTGGTAGTGTTCTCGGGGCTCAGCGGTGTAGTGGTATTTGTTTCGTGTGAGGCTGGTGCGGCAGTTACATCATCAGTTGCAGTAGATTGCGTGGTAAGATTAGAGTCAAGAGAAGGTGTCGCGGTTGATTCTTCACTGACAGCATTCCCGGTATTAGCCGGAATAGTGGTATTTGTTTCTTCTGAGCCTGATATAGCAGCAGCACTTGGAGTTGCAGTAGGTTGGTTACCGGAATTAACATCACTGGGTGCAGTACTCTCCTCTCCTGGAGAAGAATGCTGCATAGCACCACCAGGATTAACAGAACTGTTATCTGGGGCTGTTTTAGCCTCAGTTTGTGGTACGTTTGAATTGGAATGAACACCTTCAGATGGTTGTGCGCCCGTAGTTGGCGTTACTGTTGGATGTGTTCTTGTAGCTGCTGGAGAAGACTGCTGCAAAACATCACCATGATTGCCATTACTGTTATCAGTGGAGTTTGCCGACTCAGCTGGTGGTACGTTTGGATGTGAATTAACACCTTGAGATGGTTGTGCGCCTTTATGTGTTAGTGCTGTTGCCTGGGCTTCTGATGCAGCTAGAGACGTATTCTCTGCAACATGACCTTCTGCAGCAGCTTGTAATTGTTGTGCTTTTGCGGCATTTTCCAGTACCTCACTTTCCTGTTTCAGTTTTAGTGCCTCTTGATTCTTCATTTCTTCTTCTTTATTTATTTGTTCAAGTAGTTTTTCTGCCTCTTTAAACGTAAGTTTTTCTCTCTTGCGCAACTCCCAATGCTTCTTTTCTACTTTTTCCCAATCAGCAGGATTATACGAAGGTACATCAACCCTAGTACTACCTACAAAAGCCATCACCGCCTTTAGCTGTCCATCAGTAGTAGTAGCAATGGTGGTTGTTCTTGCTGTTCTTGCGGTACGCTGGCGGCAGAGGTCTGCGTACTTCCCACATGCAGACACACGGCTGCCCGCACCGCATGTAAGCCACTCGCTCGCAGCAGCGGGGCGTACACGCAGCGCACCGCCGGCCCCGCACGACACCTCCACAGCCCCACGGGATACACCACGGCCACTGGGACTGTCATTATCAACAGCAGCAGCA